GATATTAATTATTTTTAAAAGGTAAATATTAACACAACTATTTTATTTATAATCCCAAATTTAGGATAAAAAATCTCCCACACCAAAAAACTTACAATTGGGTAACGCCGCTTCGAATTTTTCACAATTGAGCAATTGTCAAAAATCTGCTTTTTAATCAAAAAGTTGTTTATTGAAACTACCTTCTTTTTTGTATCATGGCTAGCAACTGTATACGCGAAAAAGCAATGTTGTTACATTTTCTCATTAAACCATGTTCGAATCGTGGAAATGTTGAAAGATCACAGGGTTGTTTTTGCATTTAGATTCTTAATGCAAAAATGGAGTTGCATTTAGTTACATTTAGGTGACGAATTTTGTATGGATAAATGTACATTTAGAGCTATATGCGCTAAATGTGCTTTTACGCGTAAGCAAAAACAGCCCATTAGGCATCATGTTATCCAAAATGTGCGTGTTGATCTTGTCACGCAAATGAAGGGACCTAAAGTTCTAGGTCGCCACCGAACGGCAAATGGTTTTTATTAGAAGCGATTTCATGGCAGAAGTACGTACACTCGGGGGCTTGAAAATTCGACGACCGCATATCGGGAATTGCGTAGAACAACATTTGCTGGAACTTGCCTGACGATTAAAAACAAGCTCAAGATAGAATTATCCAAGAATATATACCATTTTATCAGAACATATTTACCTGGCCAACCGCAAATGTTTAAGATAATCCAGAAGATAATATTGGAGAATATGACTTAATAATAATACATGAAAAATGTAAACATGTACAACGTTAATAAGTAAAGCTTAATAGTAATATTAGTGATATTCATCTGAACCGATAACTTTATCAAGCTGATATTTTTATAAATTTAACCTTTATGTCAACAGCAACATACCCGGGTACCCGGGTTTCAACTATATCTTGGAAACTATACATCGGATTAACTTGAAATTTCATGATATCCTCAACAAAAGTATTCTACATCATATTCCTACTTCTGAGTGGGATTGGACCATCTGGACCCAGAGATCTGACAATTTTTCGAATTTTACCCCTTACATCAACAGCTGCATATGCTGGGTTACATTTGAAAAGTAAACTTTATTCCGAATAAAATTCTTAATATAGTACAAGAATATAATGATAATAAAATATTATAATACATGAAAAATAAAAAAGAAATACGAATAAATTGGAAATTATTAACTTTTTAGTTACATGTATTGCATTGCGGCAAATTAGTGGAATGTTTTGCACAAACGAGCTTTTTGCACAATATGCAGGCTTTTTTTGTTGGGCGTCGTTTGGAGCATATATATATATAACAATTAACCTGTCTGTCCGTACTGTCACGTTCTTCATCGCCTCCTAGTTAGGGTTGCCAGATGTTTTAGCCGAGAAATAAGTACGTTTTTCATGCTAAAAAAATCAGTACTTTTCAGGACATTTTTGTTCAAAGCAAAATTTTTAATGTAAGTAACAGATAATACTTTAAAACGGCTGAGTACTTGTTTTTAACAATATTTTGGTATATAAATAAAATATAGTTCATGAAAAATAAAAGTGTTATTCATTTTAACATAAGTGTACACATCATTGTACACAGAAGCCAATAAATCGATACTAACATATATTTTGAAAGCCGTCTTTTTCTGTTCACAAAGATCGAGATCGGCTGTACCGATTTTTTGGAAATTTCGGTTATAGGTTCTGGATGGGCTTCTCATTGTCTTAGCCAAAACTAACTTCCAACTAAGTAAGAGATAACTGTCAAATGCAAAACTGGGAGTGAGTGCAAAACTGTAACATCTGCCTTAATTTACATTTTTGTCTGCTGTTTTTTTTATTGTTGTTGTATTGACTTCAAATCGTTATGAGAGAGGAGTAGGGATGTACCAACAAGAATATACAACAAAAGTATGAAAGTCGTTAGAACTTGGAAAGATAGCGATGGCTGAAGTAAAAAGTGTTACACCATGTTACAATTTTTCCCGTCACTGTATGTAGAGTCGTTTATGTTGCCAAAAGCAGCAACTAACATTTCTGTTAGCACTTACATTTGTATATGAATATTTATATGCATACATATGTATGTATATAATTACGCATCAAAAACCCTGCTGCTATGCTTTTTTGTACGCAAGTGTGCGCAATATTAAACGCATACTGCATATCTCTGGAAGTATTTATGGTAGAGTATCGGAACTTGGTACGTAGATATATGAAATCAATCCCATACTCCAAAGGGGGGCGTGGTACCTCCCATACAAACCGAATTTTTCATACTGCATATCTCTGGAAGTATTTATGGTAGAGTATTTGAACTTGGTATGTAGATATATGAAATCAATCCCATACTCTTGGATAAAAATTGGAGGTATTTGAAAAGGGCGCATGGCACTTGCCATACAAACCGAATTTTTCATACTGCCTATTTCTGGAAGCATTCATGGTAAAATTTTTGAACTTGGTACGGAAATATATGAAAGCAATCACATACTCATGGAGAAAAATTGGAGTTGTTGGAAAAGGGCGTGGCACCTCCTATACAATCCGAAATTGTTATACTGTATATCTCTGGAAATGTTCATGGTAAAGTACTGGAACTTGGTATGGAGATATATGAAATCAATCGCATAGTCATGGAGGAAATATGGAGCTATTGGAAAAGGGGGCGTGGCACCTACCATACAAGCCGAATTTCATACTGCATATCTCTGGAAGTGTTCATGGTACAGTACTGGAACACTTCGTATGGAGATATATACAATTAATCCCATACTCATTGAGAAAAATGGGCTCTTTAAAAAGGGGCGTGGAAAAGTACAAACATACTGACTTTTACTTATCTTTGAATGAATATATATTTTTTCTATAGGTATATTTGTGAGTGAAATCCTAAATGACTGGAGTAATTTTAACAAAGTTTTGTGTCTGTGTTTAAGTGGATCTCTGGATAGTTTAGTTTCACAATTTAATCCGCCAGTTGGCGCTGGAGTTGAGTTATTACTAAACATCTTTTTTATGATCCGTTTTGGCGAATATTCAAAACATGTATTGGAAACGGTAAAGGCAGTCCAATTGCAAAAAAATGCTTCAAGGTGGTGCTGATGTCGAGTTATTACTAAAAATCGACAAGTTAGAAAAGGTGCCATAAATGTCAGACTAAATCGATCTGTTGCACCATTGAGTATATCGAACTATCATGTGTTACGATTGACCAAATGGATGTGATTTGCCAATATTATTATGTGTTAGAACTTCATCCGAAGAAACCAGGGTTGAGTTGAGCAGTGGTAAATCTCCTTAAAAGCCAGTTTCATGAAAGCAATTTAATAAAAATTTATTTTTTTAATCGCTTTCGCGAAACTGGCTTTTAAGGTATTTCATCTCAATTTATATATGTATATTGTATTTCTGTTGAACAAGGATACTCATTCATTTTGAAATTGCCACCAACTGTAAGATAAGGTTTCTCGGGCACATTCACTACAGATCCGGATCATTGTTGCCACCAGGGAACTTCTCATGGACATATCACTTTCGTTCGGTTATTTAAGGCGGCAAACGACCACCAAACCATATTCTTAACCGATGAATGTGCAGAACAAATCGTAAATGTGGATTGTTGGAGAAACTGTTGGACCAAAACAAAAGTTATTTTATATTTATGACATTTTTCAATGGCAATAATGAGATAATTTCCATCTTCAGTGTTCAAATAGTCAAAGAATTCTATATATTTCATTTTAAGATTACTTTTAATATGAAGATCACTTTAAGTAATTTTAGTTAGAAGTCGGTTTCTCTCTTTGCGCCAGGAAGCAAACTTTATACTTAAGATCCTCTCAGTTGCTTTGTTTGAGCGTGGTATTGAAAAAAAAAACTAAATTACATATTTTTCTAAACTATTAGGGACTTCATCTATAATTCCCATGGCTTAAATTTTTTCAACTACGCAAAAACTTTGAAAGACTAACTATTCGCTAAAAAGAGAATAGCTCTATGTCTTGTATGCAAAACTCTTTTGAATGTCAGTAATTTGTGAAAAAAGAGCTTTAAGTTATAGGCGAAAGCCATTCGAATATTCAAACTTCTTATTAAACTGAAATTAATTTCCTAGATAACTAGCGACACTCGACAAAAAAACGTCAGCCTTCTTTTTAAATAATTTAAACCCCGTTATATTATCGCAACTGGTACGTAATGACCCGGCGGTATGCCCATAAAACGATTGAACTTTTTGTTGTATTAATTTCTTAGGCATATGAAACATTATCTGAAATATATCAACTATAATTCAATTATTTTCTTCTTACTTTTAACAGTACAGTTTAAGGAAGCTCCAACGTTATGTAAAAACCTTGAGAAAATTCTAAAGTATTTTGTTTGAATTGAAAATTCAGTACAAATCAGTCCGAATTTTGAAAAATCAGGACATTAGCGTACTGATTGAAGAAATGAATAAAATCAGTACAAGAGTTGAAAAATAAGTACTGTACTGATAAAATCAGTACTGTACTGATAAAACCATTACGTCTGGCAACCGTACTCCTAGTGCAACATCCATTATCCTCAAAGACCCGCCGTTTACTGGTTCAATGGCGTTGCGTGTAGAAAATACTCTGCTGATTCGACGTACCTACGTAACAAAGGCAGCCACATCCAGAATATTATAAAATAATGGTAAAGGGCATATATTCATTCGCCGCTTGATTGAATATTCTGCTAAGCATTTAACCATGTAATTAACGTCCCCTTTGGTTTTGTTGTGATCTAATGTCAAAAGTGACTTTTTTTTAAGACCTCTTACTTCAGTTTTGTAATGCAGTCCTGAAAGGATCACAACTGATTTATTTTTCTTCGGCGCGAGCAGGTCCATTGTTTGCAGACCTGAGTATGTTGTGAGTTCGAGTTGTGTGGTACAGCAGACCAAGTTGTTCCGTCTTTGTCAGAATATTTTCCCCGGTTTCCCCTGACCTGTCGTTCTTTTCTCATCTTCAATTTCGTCTTCCGGGTCGTATTCTGCAGACTGGACTTCTTCTATATCGGAGTCATCTGGAGTTACATCATATTCGTTATCCTCCACAATCTCTTCAGATACTAAAGGCTCTCCGTCATTATTTTCCCCGCCTAAATCTCCAAACATCTGGCGAATGTATTATTGCTGTTCCTCAAGATCAAGTGCAATAAGATGTAGTCCAGTGAGTCATTCACCATCTTCCATTTTTACTTTTGTAAGTTTTGTTTTGTTGAAAAACACTTGGCAATAAAAACCCAAATATCTTCAGTCTCCAAGTTCGCAAAACCTAAATTCAAGTATATATTAGAGTACAATTTATTTTGCCTACGGGTTCTTCAGGTTTGCGCAAGCGCTCAACTACATGATGTAACAAGAAACATCACAAGAATTATTTGTGTCTACTTGAAAAACCCCTTTCTCACATAATTATACAAGTTTTGTACCTAAACAATCCCTTACGCATCTACATCCAAAACCCACGATCATGAAGTGTTGTTTGAGAAACTCATTATTCATACAGTAAAATAACATATTTCTCAAATATTGTTTTACATACATAAAACAAACATATTTTTTTTTAGAAAATAACAACAAAGTCTTGGCCATATTAAAAGAAATGTGTTAAATATTCACATATCCGTCACAACACAATGCCATTTCCCATACAAATGTATGCTGCTGTTGACGTACGTATAATTTTTCTGCTGTTGACAAAAAGGTTAAGCACTCTGTTACATGAACGCCCCATACTCTCAGGATTATATCGGTGTTGTTAGATTTGCGTGCAAAATTTGTATGCGGATCCCGATTATTGTTTCGGCGATCTAACCCCGTTTAGGTTGGCGAAATCTATCAAACGTTGCTCGATACTAGAGCTGCATCTGCTCCGTACCCTTTTGCTCAGTGCTGGCATAGAGTCTAACCCAGCGGCAGAAATTTACACCTGCTGCGTATGCCAGAGACGACTGCATACAAACTCCATCTCGTCAGGTGCAATGCCTGTGACGGGTGGAGTCATCTCCGTACCTGCTCGAGCATACGTACGCACCGGCAATGAACCCCGTCGTTCGTGGCCCCATGCTGTGCCACCACCCGCCCGTGCAGCACAGAACCAACACACCCACACCCCAACACAATACAACAATAGACACACAAACAAACTTAATAGCACCCACACACCGCCACCGGCAACTCCTCGCCCCTCCGAGAATCTGATCGGTTTGTCAGTCCAGAATATACCGTAACGTGACATCAGGCAAGTGCAACTCCTGCCTTGGCTGGTGCCACTTTAGGGCATGCTAAGGATTTCGCAACATGCGTGATTGGACGAGTGACTATGTGGGCCCCTGCTGTGCTGCCCAGTCGCATAGCACCCTTTTTGCAGCACCTACAGCAGGGAGCCGGCAGGCAACACAACTCCCTAACTCCACACATCACAATTGGTCTCCCAAGGCACGCACAGGTGCTACAATTCAACTGTAACGCACTCCGGAGCAAGATCGAGGAGATAACTGCCTTCATGGGAAGACCTGGAATATTAATAGCTTCTGTCCAAGAGACGAAGTTGCACGGCAATTCAGCCTTGTTGAATTGCGCTGGATAGAATGTGCACCGTCGAGATCGCGAGCGAGACAATGGTGGAGGCTTAGCGCTCATCACGCACCACACCGTGCACCGTATCGTCTTAGTGAAGCAGACATCGACCGCAGGGATACCATCCTAGAACGTCAGGGTATTGCTATCCGGTCAGGCGAAGTTGAGCTCGAAATATTTAACGTATATATATATCAGCTGCCCGGCAGGATATCACCCTGAAATGGGTGCGCTACTCAGAGGTGAAAACCGTATGGTAGTTGGCGACTTTAACGCGCACTACGATCTTTGGCACTCAATCCTGTCAAATGATCGTAAGGGAATACATCTGGCTGAGCAGATAAACGATTCAACATTCTGCACAATGAACGACGACACACACACCAGGACTATGGGCAGCTGCCCAGATTTAACAATTGACAGCGCTGGTCTGATAAACAGCGTATCATGGCGTCCTATGCTGACCCTAGCATCAGACCATCTACCCATAGTCATCTCGATTGATAAACCTGCCGACTTTGCTTCCGCGGATCACCGGAGCTATGTCAACTTTTCCAAAGCTGACTGGAAGCGCTTCGCGGATGTTACTGAAAGCCCATGCCAACCGACGTTCACGCAGGTGAACGTAAATTCCGCAGGGTTGTCACTGCTGCTGCAGCGCGTTTCATCCCAGCAGGATATATTACGGATCCACGTTCGAACTTTCCTACTGAAGCGGCTGTTTTAGCCGATGAGCGTGAGAACCTTCGTCAGGCCGATCCCGGAAATCCCCGTGTCAGGCATCTAAATTCGGAGATTCGGCAATTTGTGAACGTACGTAAGCGGAAGAAATAGGAAGAGCATTTGAAGATCTGCAACTTCACCTCTGGTGTGAGTAAGCTTTGGTCAACCGTGAGGTCATTCTAACCCGGTGAAGCCTGAAGACAGAGTTGAAATAGACTTTGGTGACCACGCTTCGTCAGACCCGGAGCGATGCTCGAGCTATTTTAGCCGGCAGTTCATTCTGCATCCTCCGGTGGACAAAGCCAAACGTCGAGTGACCAGAAGGCTGCAGAAACTGCCAAAACCTTGTGCGCCTCTTGTTTTCACCAGCGGTGAGGTAAGGGTAGCCATCAGGAAGTCGAAAGCCTCCAAAGTCATTGGACCTGACGGAATATACATATTGATGCTGAAAAATTTGGGTCCTGCGGGAGTAGCGTACCTAACGGAGGTCCTCAACTTGTCAATGGCCACTCTCGTCATTCCAGACATCTGAAAGATGGGGAGAGTGGTCCCACTGCCCAAACCGGGGAAACCAGCCATCAAAAGAGTCTTATCGCCCGATAACTTTCCTTTCTCCGGTAGCGAAGGCATTAGAGGCCTTGCTACTCCCGTATTTCACGAACCACCCGACTCCAACGATTCCATAAAGTGCACAGCACAACAACAGCACTTAACGCCATAAACACCCAGATAACTCGTGGCCTTAACCGAAACCGCCCCTGTGAGAGAAATATTCTAGTAACGTTGGACCTGTCCAAGGCGTTCGACACTGTCAGTCATTCAACGCTGATAGAAAACATTGAGGACTCCTCACTCCCACAGGGACTCAAACGGTGGTCGGCGAATTACCTGAGTGGTCGACACTCGTCAGTAATTTTCAGGGACAAAACCAGCAAGCTACGGAAAATTAAACAGGCGGTACCACAGGGTGGTGTCCTGTCCCCACTACTGTTTAATTATTACATCTTAAAGCTCCCTCAACCACTAGAGGGTGTCTATATTGTCTCTTATGCTGACGATTGTTCGATCATGGCGTCTGGGAATGGAATTAATGACTTGTGCTCGAAAGTAAACGGTTATCTCGCAAAACTTTCTCGCTTCTTCACTACAAGGAGCCTTGCCCTATAACCTGCGAAATCCTGGCCAACGCTATTCACCACCTGGATGAAGCAGGTCAGATTGCAACTGGATATTCACGTTGATGGCGTAACAATACCGATGGTGAATAACCCGAAAATCCTCGAAGTTACCTTCGACAGTCTTCTCTCCTTCTCGGCGCATACAACCGCTATTGCCAATAAAGTACAGAGCCGCAACAATGTCCTCAAGTCGCTGGCCGGCAGCTCTTGGGGCAAAGATAAAGAAACGTTGTTGGCACCATACAAGGTCATTGGCCGGCCGGTTCTAAACTATGCAGCGCCCAGCGTGGTCGCCTGGGACTATCAGGACGCAGTGGATGAAGCTACTGACCTGCCAAAACACGGCACTACGAAGAGCGGCCGGATGCCTCCTGATGACGCCCCACCACCACCTACACGACGAGGCCCAGATGCTCCCAGTGAAGGTCATCCCAGCAAACAGCTGCTTGCACAAGAGCCCTCGCCAAGGCACGTCAGGAGGCATCTCTACGAACTGACGAACGAAGTAGAGAGGTTAATTGAACAGCCTCTGGACCCGTCAGCCTACCGACAGGCCCTGAGCTGCATTCACAGGGAATCAGAGTCGAGTTATGTAGACTCCCGCCCTGTCAATGGCGTTCTGGGCATACAACCACCGGACGTGGACGGGAGAGAACTTTGTCTGCCTAGGGAGACCCGCACCACAATAGCCCAACTTCGCTCTGGCTATTGCAGCAGGCTTAACTCATACCTGAGCAGAATTAATGAGGATGTGCCCAACCGATGCCCGGCATGTGGAGAGTCGCCACATGACTCTCGGCACCTCTTCACACGCCCTGAGAACTTCACCCAGCTGACGCCCCTGTCCTTATGGATAGATCCTGTTGAAGTCGCACACTTCCTGGGCCTCCCTTTAGCTGAAACGGACGACAACGTTGACGGATGAACCGATCCGAGCGGGGCTTAGTAGCCGCTACACCCCTCGACAAAAGATAGTACATCCAACATTTTTACCAGTTTTGGTTTCTTTTGATTTTTTTAAGTTTCATTCTTTGCATATAAAAGTATAGTTCTTTATCTAACAAATACCATATAAATCAAAATTTCCGACTTTGTACAAAAATTATAAAAACTCCACAAACTTTTCATCCCAACTCCATCCATTTCTGGAATAATTTTTGGTATGTAGTTTTATAGCTTATTAAATTCTAGTATAATAAAGTGCAAGTTTTATGTTGCAAAAAAGTCGCGTTGATTTTTGATAATTTGTTTTCTGACCGAAAAATTACACTGAAGATAGCACTACGCCGAAACCGGTTTGTCTCCAAACCAAATTTGGCAAGAGATGACGGAAAATCGTTCCACAATACATTCAAATTTAATAAGCTATAAAACTGCATACTAAAAATGATTCCAGAACTTAAAATTAAAATGCTCGGAATTGGGATGAAAAGTTTGTGCTTTTTATTATAATTTTTGTACAAAGTCTGAAACTTAGATTTACAGCGTGGCGACGAATAACTTTTACCCAGGTTTTTTTGAGAAATAAAAGGGTCCTTCATAGATTTTGCGAAAAAAGCATTTTATTTTTAATTTTCCAGATTTTACTTTAGTTGTATTAATTGAATAGTTTTTAAATTTTAATCCTTATTTATATTTGCCAGCAGTGTAAACTTTGAGAGAAAAGTTCATTTGGCACGCAGGTCTTCGTCCGTTAATTTATTCCATATCTTCTGTAACCATAGGCTAATTTTCTTAAATTTTATTCCCTTATACTCCCTCTTCTGTCCACCATAAGGCCTCATACTCAAAAATCGAATTGACTCGGAACTGGTGACTAGGACGGCCATTTATTCGACCAACCCAATACAGTTTTTCGTTTTTTTTGTATTATTTTATAAAAAACCTAAGAAAAAATACACCTGAAAAAGACTTGCGTGCCAAATGAACTTTAAATTAAAATTAAAATTTAAAAACTATATAATACAACTAAAGTAAAATCAATGGAAAATTTATAATAAAAAACTTCTTTCGCAAAATCTATAAAGTACCCTTTTATTTCTCAAAAAAACCTGGGTAACAGTTATTCGTCTTCACACTGTATATGGTATTTGTTAGATAAAGAGCTATGCTTTTTTTATAAAAATAATGAACCTTTAAAAAAGCAAAAGAAAAGTAGTCAAAACTGGTAAAAATTTTGATGTGCTATCTTTTGTCGCGGGGTGTAAGTCAGGAACCGTTTTTCCGGTTTTTTTCATTGTTAATAATAATAAACTGTAAAGATTATTCCACATTTTACTCTCTTAAAACTTACGTTCTGTATTCAGCTCAAAAAAAAAATCCTTTACAACTCATTTTTTTTTAACTACAAAGTCTTAACGGGACTTCAAAAAAAGGAGGTTATCAATTCGTCGGAATATTTTTTTTTTTTATGTATGTTACCGCATAACCTTGGATCACGTCAATCGATTTCGATAATTCTTTTTCTATCGGAAGGGTAGTCTCCGAGGTGGTCCATACGGGGAAAGGACACTACCCTGTGGAGCCCCCTGTTTTATTTTTCTGAATTTACTCGTTTTGTCTCTAAATATTACCGACGAGTGTCGACCACTCAGATAATTTGCGGACCACTCTCTGTGGGAGAGAGGAGCCCTCTATATCTTCTAGTAGCTTGGAATGGCAGACGGTGTCAAACGCCTTTGACAAGTCCAACGCTACTAGAATCGTTCTCTCATAAGGACGGTTTCGGTTAAGGCCACGAGTTATTTGAGTGTTTATGGCGTTAAGTGCTGTTGTTGTACTGTGCACTTTACGGAAACCATGCTGATGCTTCGCTGGGGTCAAGTGGTTTGTGAAATACGTTGTCGTCAAGCTTTACTAGCGATAGCCCTAGGAAACGTGCAGCCTCGACGGGGTCTGTCCA